AAAAAAAAAAAAAATTTGCATAGAGATATAATACACATACCATAAAATTCACCCTGTTAAAGTTTCAAGTCAGTAGTTGGTGATATACATGATATATTTATTTTTTCTAATGGGGGCCATTTATTGTATAAACTTTTACAGTTTACACATGCACTAAACTGAATGGATGTCACCATATTAGAATTTGATAATAGACATGACTTTCTAGAAAACATTAGAGTCAGTACATTTTTTCTGAAAAGGTCAAAATTCCACGTTACCAATGGCATCCAGTCCCATCCACACAGATGCTGTTCCCTCTAACACAGAAACTAAAAGGCTGCCAAGCAAGAGTTCTTTCTGCCCACGTTAGAACTGCACTCCTATCAAGATCATAAAGTGGCTCGTGGCTGCTACTCTGTACTTACCAAGTGAGACCCCAAGGAAGGACCTTCATACCAAAACTTTTTTCTAGAGAGAAGAAATAAAAATTATGTTGGATAGTGAGGGCAAATTAAAAAAGAAAAAGTTGTATATCTTAACTGAACAGGTTATGATGACAGAACCATTTGTAAAGGGCTAACCTTGGACACAGAAGTTCTGTTTCTGGGGCTCTAGAAAACTTCGATATTTAATTGACAACAACACGGGCTGTGGGGGAGGTACTGAACATGGTGTTAATTCCACCTCATATTTTTACTTCAGATGCACTTCTAGTCCCAAGGGGAGAGAAAGAGGATCTTCAAAATATACTTCCTACCCTGAATGTAAACACTACACTCTGGTTGATGAAGTTGTTTCCCATGGAGCAGATGCAAATGATTCTGACGCTGCTACACACACACCAAGACTGCCAACCCCGTGAATACACGGTGGACGGCAGCAGCCACACCAGCTGGAGTGGGAGCTCCAGCCAGGCAAGGAGAAGGCAGGATGATTCTTGGGTGTGCGCTAGAGCTGGAGGCATGTGGTTGCACACGGGAATGTTTATAGGTGAGTGTATATTTAAGGGTTGGTACAAACACATGTATTTTCTGCTTTGTCAGATGAGAAGGTCCAAAAGACAAACAGGCCAGCAGCAGCGAACACATCTAGCACCCAGATCGTGGTTTCTACCAACACTCTCCTATAAAAGGAGCCGGGCTCCTTGGAGAAAGCCTGATTCTATGGCTGCTGCAGGAATATACGAGATGAACCTGGAGTGTCTCGTAGTGCCACGAAGTAAAGAAGTGCTAGACACACACATATATGCTGGAAAACACAGTGAAGCCCTATAATGATGGGGTCTGTCAAAGGGACACAGGAGCCAGAGCTCTCCGTGACCACAGCTGGAACAATTAGAGCAAAATAAAGTAATATTGGATTTTAACTCATGAGTCTATATTGATATGAATAAATTAATGAATGGGGGAGAAGAGACACATCTCCCATGCAGAGTGCCCAGGGATTTATGGGCGTAACTCCCCGCTCCTCACGTGTGCACAGCAAATAGTGACTTTCTCCCAAAGAGCACGGTGTGGACACGGCTACATTTCACTGCAGCAGGGAGACCGGGTGACCGTGGCCAGCATCCACAGTGACAAGTCATGCTGGCAGTGTGTGCCCTCGCTATGATGCCAGAAGGGCACTTACCCCTGTGGTCTTCTTCCCGAAACTCCATCGCCCACGTGTAATCATAAGAAAAACATCGGGCAAATCCCAACAGAGGGGCATCCTAAAACTGCCTGACCAGCAGGCCTCAAAACTGTTTCGGCCATCAAAAACAGGCAAAATTAAAAAAAAAAAGGGGGGAAAGTTTGTGACACCGTAGAGTCTAGGGGAGCCCGTCCGGGAGCAGACACGACGTGGAACGTGCAGCCTGTGTGGGCTCCCGGGGCAGAGACGGGACGAGGGACGCTCTCAGGGCCCGGAGACGCGCGGGCCGCAGCGCGCAATAACCAGCGACGTCGGCTCGATCGCCGTAACTGTCGCCACAAGCCCCGCTTTCCCAAGGAAGACCACGCAGAAAGTTGGCACTAACACAGAAAGAACGTTCCTGTTTCTTTCTTTCCTTCCCTCTTTATTGGAAGAAACTACTCTCCTCAAAAACGCTCTGGCGACAAAAATCAAATAAATACATTTATCACTTCGGTTTGCTTTTTTTTTTAAATCCCACACACGTTAGTGAACAGAAAAAGACTGGGTGGGAATACTGCAAATGCTAACGCTGAGGTAGTCGTCACCCAGCGAGGCCCCGCAGTGCGCCGCGGCCTGGGCGTGGGGCGGGGCCCGGGAGCCGCGTGGACGCGACCCGCCCCTACCCCCAACACCGCCCCGCGAAGACGCGACCCGCCCGCTACGTTACCTGGACTTGGAGGCAAACTTCTTGAGCAGGTTCTTGCTGCCGCAGGCGACTGCGGAGCCGTGCAGGGTCCGCGCGCGGCCCGGAAGGAGCGCCACGTCGCGGCCGCAGAGCAGCGCCCGAAGCCCCGCACGGGGGCCCAACAGCCCGCCGGCCGGAGCCCACATGCTGCGGCGCGACACCCGGGCGACACCGAGCAGGGCAGCGAAGCACCGGCGAGAGACCTGACTGCGAGAGGACGCCTGGGCGTGGCGACGTGAGGGTGGGATGACGGCTGCGCGTGGCGGCGTGTGGGCGGGGCGACGGATGGGCCGGGCGGTGTGTGGGCGGGGCGACGGATGGGCCGGGCGGCGTGTGGGCGGGGCGACGGATGGGCCGGGCGGCGTGTGGGCCGGAGGACGGGTGGGCGGGGCGGCGTGTGGGCGGGGCGACGGGTGTGCGCGAGGCGGGCAGCGTGTGGGCGGGGGTGCAGGTGGGCTGATGGCTGGATGGAGGCTGCGGGGAGGGCTGACGGCTGACCGTAAGGCGCACAGCCTGTGGGCGGGGCGACGGCTGGGCGTGAGGGGGCGGTGTATGGGCGGGACGACGGCTGGGCGCGAGGCGGGAGGCGTGTCGGCGGGACGACGGCTGGGCGCGAGGGGGCGGTGTGTGGGCGGGAGGACGGCTGGGCGTGAGATGGGCGGTGTGTGGGCGGGACGACGGCTGGGCGTGAGATGGGCGGTGTGTGGGCGGGAGGACGGCTGGGCGTGAGATGGGCGGTGTGTGGGCGGGAGGACGGCTGGGCGGGACGCCGTGTGGGCGGGAGGATGGCTGGGCGGGGTGGCGTGTGGGCGGGAGGACGGCTGTGGGGGGCGGAGTGTGGGCGGGGCGACGGCTGGGCGTGAGATGGGCGGTGTGTGGGCGGGGCACTGGTGGGGCGATGTCTCGCCGGCGGCGGTGGGTGGGGCCTGCGGTGTGTGGGCGGGGCGCGGAGGAGGTGTTTGACTTCACGGCGCGACGCCGAGTCACGCGCAGGCGGAGTGGCGACGGCGCGGCGGCAGGTGGGACGAGCGCCGTGGGGGCTCTTCCTGGAATGCCCTCGCGGGCCGGCCGCCCGGGCTCGGCCCCTGCTTGTGGGGCGAGAGTGAGAAAGGCAGGAACGGCGACTGCGGCACCGGCGTGACCCGACCTGCGACGTTCCGGTGGCTGCGCGCGCGCGCGCGCGTCCGTGGCTCCAACTCCCACAGTCCTGTTAGTTCTTTGTGATGGTGCCGGGTGCTGGAGGCCTCAGAGATCAGACTCTGACCCTCTGCTGCCCTCCGCGCACCCCTTCTCCTCACAGGCCGGCCACAGGGACCGGAACCGGGCTCTGAGCTTCCCCCCTGCCTGCCTGGGAGCAGGGAAATCCCTGACTGCGGGGCGTGACACCCCAATCCCGAGGGTGCTGCTCACGGAGGCCTTGCTGGGTCTCCGCAGTCAGCCTGTGTCAGAGCACGCCCTTTGTCCAGTCGCATTTCTACGCAGCTGTCCACGCCTCGTTCATGCCTAACCAACTCTCCAGGAAAGGCCCAAGAGGATGGGGCGCAAAGAGCGGGACAGCTGAACCGGGCAGGTGTGCAGAAGGGTGGGATGAGTTGGCACACCCCAACTCCACAGACAGGCGCTCTTGTGCTTGGGGCCCTTCCAGACCTTGCCGTGTGTATCTCTTCTTCTGCCTGTTTATTCGTCTCCTTTAAAATGTCCTTTATGGCCAGGCATGACAGCTCACGTCTGTAATCCCAGCGCTTTGGGAGGCTGAAGCGGGAGGATCGCTTGAGCTCAGGAGTCCAAGGCTGCAGTGAGCTATGATCAGGCCACTGCTCTCCAGCCTGGGTGACACAGCAACACTCTAAAATAAAATAAAATATCCTTCGTGATAAACTGGTAAACAGGCGCACGTTAATTGAGCCTAAAGAGGGGGTCCTGGGAACCCCAAGGTGAAGCCAGTCGGTCAGAAGTTCTGGAGGCTTGGACTTCTGACCAGTATCTGAAGGGGGGCAGTCCGGTGGGCTTGAGCCCTCAACCTATGGGACCTGACACCATCTCCAGGTAGACGGTGCCGGAACTGAACTGGATTAGAGGACACCTGGGTGGTGTCCGCTACAGAGCTGCTTGCTTGCTAGTCGGGAGAAATTCCCACACATCTGGCTTTACAAGCATGTCGTGAGAGTGCAGTGGGACAAACTGAGTTTTTCCACACAATAGTGCACTAGGAAATTCACAGACCAAATCCAAATTCAAACTAAAACCAAGCCTAAGGCTTTAATCAAAATTCAGGTATAAATATTTGCAGGCTGAGACTTTAGACAAGCAATTCTCTGTGCCCCATTTACGAATGAGAAAAACAAGTTCCCTCAAGAGCGGTGCTGAGGATGACGAGACCAAGGCTGCCACAGGAGTTCGCTACCACGCCCGTCCTGAAAGCCTGCCCGGCCAAAACAACAGTACACGGCCTATGTGCTGGGCTGGACGTCAATAAGGAACACAAAATACGCTCTTCCCCTGTGATCTGCCACGCCTCGCCCAGGGAGTCACTGCAGCAGCACTTCGTTGGGGACAGGACGGCCACCGAGAGCAGCCAGGATGCTGTCAGTCATGTCCCTCATCATCTGCCGTCTGGCTTGGTGCGTCGCACTTCCAATGTGAGGCGTCAGAGTGACGTTCTTCAACTTCAACAAAGGATGATCTCTGGAATCGGAGTAAGCGAGGAAGACTGTTTAGAGTGGTCTGGTCTCTTTAACTCCATACTCTGGTTTCACCTCCTGGGGAAATCTCCCCCCTGAGCTGGGGAGGCCACAGCAGGCCCACTCATGCTAAGTCGCACCGAGGGTGACACCACTCCAAAGACCCCGGTATGGGAGGCCCAGGATTTTGGGTACAAAACATGCATCCTGACTGCACTCGGGCCGTTCGCTCACAGTGGCACAACAAGCGTGGCGGGTTAAAGGCACTGGCCGATCAGACAGGCAGGGCTTTAGAAGGGAATGCTGGTCTAGGCTGGCTTTGCTTTAATGAGGGGTGGCATTCGGAGGGAAAAGGTGTGTTAACTGGAACTAGCAGATTGGAGGGTGTTCTCTTCCAGGAGGAACGCAAGTGATGGAGTCAGCCTGGGAAGATGGAGGAGCAGAGGAAGGTGGCTCAAGTGGGTCAGACACAACGACGGTGGCACTAGAGCCTGGCACTGGAAAAAGGCTGTGACCTCACCCAGCAGGGTCTCTGGACTGCGTTAACACAGACAGAGGCTGAAGTGGCCCTCCATCTTGGCTGTGGCTCAGGGGGCACACCTGTGAGAATCTCATGGACCCAACGGGACAGGTTGCCTGCTCAAGCCCCTTCCTGGCCAAGACTCTACAGCTCCCCAATGCTGTCTGTGGGCTCTGCCCCTCTGTGGGTCCATGTGGCTGTTACCTGGGCAGGGGCTCCGGGTAGGTCACATCTAGCGCTGCGGCGCTAATAACCCCAGTCTGAAGAGCATCCACCAGAGCGTCCTGATCAACCAGCAGACCTGGACCAACGAGACAGCACCTCTGATCACCACAGCCTGACAACACGCCAGGAGCAGTGCTGGTCACATCAGCTGCTGTTTCAAACATGTCTTACTTTTGTTCTAATAACACGTTTAAAGGTAAATCAAAGTTTGACAAAGAACATGTGGACTTCACACTGCCTGATTATTTATTAGATGTAATAAAAACCAGGCCTGAGCCCACCACGTGCCAGGGAGAAAGCTAAGCCCTGCATGCACACTATCTCTCCGAATCCTGAAACAACCCAGCAAGACCAATATTCCTTTTACTGGGGGGTGGGGGGGAGCGGGGAGGGAAACGAGGCTCGTAGTTACAGACTTGCCCAAGATCACACAACTCCTAACACAACCCTGCCGATTCAAGCCCGAGTTTGTCTAACCCTGAGCCTGGGCCCATCTCACACCACCTCCCAAAGCCACAGCATTCGAGCTGAGCAAACAGCTCCCAACTAGCTTGATGCCTGCATTTGGAAATAAAGCTGACCCAAGCGTGCTCCATAACCATGGTTTCAAATCACAAAATCGCGTGTGAGTCTGAGCCCAGAAGCTGAGAAGAAATGCCCCTTCCCTTCAGGCTGAGGCCCACCCTCGGCCCCCATCCGTGGCCACTGCATAGGGCTGTGGCCTGGACATGGCCGCTGGAGGAAGGCCACTCTGAGGTCATTCCTGGGCTGTTTCCCAGAAGCCTGGAAAGCTGAGGCTGTGCCAGCCGTTCACACTCGCCTTGGAGGCTTGAGTTTCCAGGCAACTTACAAACAGCACCATTAGCTCAGCGCCGTGGGGTTTCCTGGCAAGCGTGGTTTTCCTCGTTTTATAGAGGAGAGAACCAAACTTCAGTGGTGCACACAGGGGTCTGGTAGCGCCAGGCTGCGCGTCTGTGCCGCTGGCCTCGGCCTGCAGAGGTCACCACCTACCCCCTTCCCTCTAAGTGCCACCACGGAAGGGCCGCCGTACCTGGTTACAGCACAGGGCCTGCTTCTTCCGGCATGTAAACATCAAATAACCAAAGTGACACTAAGTTATTTTTGAAAGTGATAGCTCAGAAAATTCATCTCCATAAAGAGATGAGATTTAAAACCCTCCATATTATGGCATTCTCATCCTTTTTGTTACTATTAATAATTTGAGGTTCAAAATGCCATAAAAATAAAAATCAGAAATATCTCTAAATAGAAAGTAAAAGTCCTATAATCCCCCTGCCACCAATCTAAGTGGATTTTTCAGACCATGGCATCATTTAGGAAAAAGGGTCAACTAGAAATGACCAGATGACTGCTAAGGGCTAGTTTCTGCCCCGTGGGCTCAGGGCGGTGGCGCACCTCTGCTGATGTTGACGAGGATGGACGTGGGTTTCATCAGCCGCAGCTCCCTGCGCCCGATCAGCCCACGGGTCTGGGGCGTCAGGCTGGCCACCAGCATCACAAAGTCCGACTGCTGCAGCAGGTTGTCCAGCCTCTCACAGTAAGTGGCCCCAACAGCTTCCTCCTCCTCCAATTTCCTGGAAAGGCAACAGGAAGAAAAATCACATCCTCTAGCCAGAAATTCATCACGTTGCCCTCATGGGAGGAGCCTCTTGGGGGAGCCAGAGCCTGTCCTCCCACTGGGCCGGATTCCATGTGGGCCCAGGAGGCCGGAGCCTGGGCAGGCCCCTCTGGCCGCTGCAAACCCTCAGAATCGTGATCGCAGCGTCCCCACCAGACCCTGAGCTCTGGAGGGCAAGTGCTCCCTGCTCCCATCTTGGGGCCCCCAGAGCCTGGGACAGGCCTGGCACCTGTCATCCCCCAGACATGCCTTCACCGAAGATCCCAGGCGAGAGACAGAGAAGCGCCTGACCAGAAAGCAGGTATCCCAGGGTCTGACGCAGGTGGGTTTTGCTTTCTCTTTTGTTCTGGTTTTGGTTGAATCTTAACTCCTGCTCTGGTCGCCCCAGACAGCTGATATTCAGCTGAAACCCTGCGTCCAGGTGCTCACGACACTGCTGCCCACAGAGCAGTTATACCAACCCTCTCCGGACTCTCCGGCTGGGACAGCACGCTCAGCCACACTGGAGGTGATGCAGGTGCCAGTTCTACTCAGTTCCAAAGCCATTCTTTGAATTTACCTGCGGGTCCTATTGTGGTACAGAATCTTCATTTCGAACGCTTTGGCCCTTTGAGCGATCCTGTAGCCGATGCTGCCCATGCCAACAATCCCCAGAGTGGCCCCCGTCACCTCCTGACCCATCCAGTTCACACAGAAGTCCTCTGTGTCTGGTGCAACGGCCAGCTGGCAGCCTGAAATATGCCAAGTGCAGAGTGAGCAGTGGACGCCCCCACAGACAAACCCACAGCCCCCACAGGGCTCTGACAGAGTGCGGGGGTCGGGACGTGCCCGGGCCATGCTGTTTGCACAATTGTGTCTCAGGGAGAGTTGAAGGACAGGAACAAATGATCGTTTCTTCAAAGCAAAACCAGGGCCTGCTGGTAGGATGCCTTAAAATAGAAACTTCTTTCACATTAAGAAGTATTTCTGGTTAAAATTAGTTTTGGGGTGTGTACATGTGTGTGTGTGTGTGTGTGTGTTAACCATTAGCCAGAAATAGAGCCTGGCTCCTGCTGCTTTTCCGGAACCCTTCGCACTGAAGCTTCATTTCAGGAGGGTGGGCAGTTGTGAGTTCCTAGGGAGGCTCCCAGAGGCGGTGGAGTGTGTGGGAGGTGGAATTCCCCCAGGTACATGCTGGCCTGCTGGGGTGATCCCAGGGCATTTCCATAAGGGCTCTGAGATCACTCACACCCACATTTTGGGGGGCTGCTGGGCTACGTCTGCTCCAGCTGCCAGCCTTGGGCACCAGCAGGCTGCAAACCGCCAGGAGAGGCTCCAGTCCCCAGTGAAATGAAGTCCTAGATGTGGGGTGAAGAAGTCAGGACCAGAAAGAGGCATGTAACTTAAAGAGACTTATTTGAATATATACATTTTTTTTGAGACTGAGTCTCACTCTGTTTCCCAGGCTGGAGTGCAGTAGCATCATCATAGCTCACTGCAGCCTTGAATTCCTGGGCTCAAGAAACAGATCCTCCCTGAGCAGCCTCCCAGTAGCTGGGACTACAGGTACACGTCACCACACCCAGCTAATTTTTCTATTTTTTCATAGAGACAGTCTTGCTATGTTGCTCAGGCTGGTCTTGAACTCCTGGCCTCAAGTGGTCCTCTTGCTTCAGCCTCTCAAAGTGCTGGGATTACAGGTGTGAGCCACCATGCCTGGCCCTATTTGCATATTTTACAATTATTTTAACATGTATGTTATTAAACATTTGTCATTTGGTTCTTTGGAAAACCACCATCTTCTATGAGTGTTTTACCTTCAAGGACTCTGCGGGCTGCGGCCAGCAGTAAGGCCATCCCCAGGTCTGCCGTGGGGTCAGAGACGGCGTGCGGTGTGTTGGCCACCTTCACGCCGAAGCTGGCGATGAGCTGCAGGTCCAGGTGGTTCACGCCAACTCCCCCGTTGGCAATAATCTTCAGGGAAGGCAAGCTCTGCAGAAGCTCCCGGTCAATGACCGGCTTTCCACCCCATATGTATATGGCTTGGATCTTCTGACGGAATTGTGTCTTATTTTCCACAAATTCTGTCATGGTAATGAGACTGAACTGTTTCTGCAGCTCTCCAATGTGACCCTCACATACACCATAGGGTCCTTCAAGTGCAAACACCAAGACTCCAGGCAGCTCTCCACCCTCCATGACCTGCAGAGAGACGGATGGGAACAGCCCATGCACATGTCTGCTACCCACAGGCTTTCTAAATTACAGCAAGACTGGAGTTCACTTCATTTCCTGGGCAAATTCCTATAAAACCTGAAAGGCAGCAGACCCACAGCACTGTGTACACAGTCTCCGCTGTGCCCACCTTCCCCATCACATGTGGGCTTAATTTCTGCCCTTTAATGGACAGCGGACAGGGGGACAGGGGAGGTGGCCCCTCCTGGAAGTCACACCCTTGGGTCTCCACCTGGAGTATGGCTCAGCAGAGACTCTGGCTTGTCTCGGAGCCTCGCTCCCTGTGCCTCCTATATCTGTCTCTCTCCCTGGGGGAAGGCGTTGCTGAGCTCCCAGATGACGTGGGAGCAGAGCTTCTGAGGCCTGCCAACCGCCGCGCAAGCCGGGAGGGATGCAGCTGCGCCAGCACTCAACTGCAGTCTCAAGGGAGACCCGAGTGAGAACCCCCAGCTAAGCCACTCCTGGATTCCTGACCCAAAGCAACCGTGACATAATCCATGTTGGTTTGCAGTCACTAGTGCTAGGGTAACTCATGCATGCAGCTGGTGGGGAGGCAAACCTCCACCTTCATCTCCCAGCAGGGCCAGAGAATTAAACTGCCATTTAATGCAAGTTCTACGTGTTTCGGGAGCCTTCGAAGGCCGTGAGAGTCCAGAGACGCAGTCACTCACGCGCTGAAGTGGACAAAACAGAAAGTTGTGGAAGTGATAAGGCCAAGGCACTTGGTACGGGGCAGGTAGCTGGGTTCAGAAGTAGGACAGTGTTAACAGTTTGTTTATACAGATTTCCTGTGGCTTCAACCTTTCATCCTTGGTAAGAACGCTTATCACGCACGGGGCTTTCGTCTCCTGCTTCTACAAAACAGAGCAAAGGTCGGAGGGACCGTCTGCGCCTTCAGTCAGTCGCAAGCAGACCCAGCACGCTGACCCTTCACAGCAACACGCAGCCCCTGAGACCGACCGGCTTCTGCTGTGAAACCAAAACGTCTGCTATTGCCTGTCGCGTGAATTAAATAAAGCTTCGTGTGCCTTGTTCCTGATTAAAAATAACATTTTTTTTTAACATTTATATCTTTCCTCTAAAAAGAAAACCTGTCAATTTTCAAGGCTTGAGGCTAATGAATGTATTTTTTATCTTTGGGTCACTGGAACTTGGCAGGAAAAACAAAGCTAAAGAATGTTTAAAACTTGTTCAAAGATCAGGCCGGGAGCGGTGGCTCACGCCTGTAATCCTAGCTCTCTGGGAGGCCGAGGCAGGCAGATTATTTGAGCTCAGGAGTTCGAGACCAGCCTGAGCAAGAGTGAGACCGTGTCTCTACTAAAAATAGAAAGAAATTAATCAGACAACTAAAAATACATAGAAAAAATTAGCCGGGCATGGTGGCGCATGCCTGTAGTCCCAGCTACTCGGGAGGCTGAGGCAGGAGCATCGCTTGAGCCCAGGAGTTTGAGGTTGCTGTGAGCTAGGCTGATGCCACGGCACTCTAGCCCTGGCAACACAGTGAGACTCTGTCTCAAAAAAAAAAAAAAAAAAAAACACTTGTTCAAAGACCAGAGCATAACTGGTTAAAAAAAAAAAAAAAGCCTTCTGTTTACTTTTTTGACTTTGAGTAAAATATTAAAATGGCTTTATCCCAGATAAGAATATTTTAGTTTATTTCACTGGGAGGTGCTTTGGTTCCTGACCTCTGTCTTCCCACGACACTGGTTAAAGGGCAGCGATATATTACACGACCACCACACACTGTGTCAGCGTTTGCACCGGGAAAAGGTCCACATCCTCCGGGTTCGCTGCCCCAGGAAGAGGGGACAAGAGCCCCACCAGGGGGGACGAGAGCAGCCGAGAGCGCACGCTTGGTCTCTCGCGCCACAATTCCTTCCGACAAGCACCAGCCTGACCCACCTCAACTATAGGCCGCAGTCAGACGCGAAGACCACGTCCTAGAGCGGCGACTCTGGGGCGGGGCCCGCAGGAGCCTGGTGGGGGCTGACTACACACCCAGTCCCTTCTCCTCCCTGAGTCCTACATCCGAGGCTGAGAGGACAGGTGGCCCTGCAGGGTCCCATGCTGGACAGCTCTGACGTGATCACCAGCAGGGCACTTCCACCTGTGAAATTTAGGAAAATCAAGATTCTTACAGCTTTGTTTTTGCCTTGATAGTTCAGGCATTCCCCTTCCTGACTGCTATGTGCATTTTCCTCACGCTGTCTAACCTGACCTGCTACAGTAGATTAAAAATTAGTTATTCAGATGATTGCTTAATTAAGAAAAGAATATTACCTTTGTCAAGATTGCCTTCAACAGACTCAAGGCTCTAGATTCAGGATTTTCTTCTTCTAAAGGCCCTGGAAAATTGAGACCCAGAAAGAAAAGTAGAATGAACTTCTACTTCTTTCAAAGCAAAGTCAGAGATTTATATAGTTTCCTGGTAGGTGTTGCCTGGGACAAGGAGGGGTGTGTGGTCCACTGACCCTTGCACCCTGGGAGCCGGGAGCAGCCATGACTGAGGACAGTGGCACAGGAGAAAGGGCGAGGGGGGGCAGGCCACCAATTTGCCTAGCAGATCGCTTGAGTCTGTACGCTGAGGCTTATCTCTGATTAACAGACGTGCCTAGCTTAGAATATTACAAACCTTCAGAAAAAGCTTAATTTCTTAACCAATTACAAACCAAAGAATCTTTAAACCCACCTATAACCTGTAAGCCCCTGCTACGAGATGTCCCACTTGTTTGGGACAGATCACTGCATACCTGCCCTGTATTTGTTTGTGACTTTCCTGCAATTCTCGTCTCCCCAAAATGTGTAAAACCAAACTGTGGCCCCACTGCCTTAGGACCACTTACTGGAGGCTTCCCGGGTGTGGGCGGGAACACAGGCAGGTGGCCGGGGGCCCTGTCCCCACCCAGGTCTCAGGGCAGGGGAGGGGGGCGCATGGCTCCCAGTCGCAGGGCCCCCCTTGCTCCCTCCCTGGCCTGGCAGGGTGATGCGGAGGTGCCCGCAGTGAAGCTGGTCTCTGCAGATCCTGAGAGCCCAGAGTGGCGTCAGTAGGTCCTGTGCGACGTCACTGCTCATTCTCCAAACAGCGCCCTGGGCAGTTAGGGGGCCCGCAGCGGGGCGGGGGCCCCACAGCTTGGATGGCAGTTTCCGCAGGGGAGTCTGGGGGTCTCTCCTCTGACCCCTCCCTACGTGTGGACGCTCCCCCCAGGTACCTTCCGATCTTTTCAAACGGATCACCGGCCTCCCTCTGCCTCACTGTGGGTATCTCTAGTGTCTGAAGATTTGCAGCGCTCTCTCCTTGACAGTCCGTCGTAGCTGAGTATCTGCCGCAACTTTCGATCCTGTCCTTGAGAGTGGCGTGTGCGGGCTGCTTCTAGTCCACCAACCTCACGGCTTCTTGTCCTGAGATTTTGATTTTCTTTTTACATTACTCCTCTCTCTTGATATTTGACAGGTGAGTTCAATATCCCCCAAATCTTTCTCGCTTTCCCAAAATTTTTTTCAAAGTAGCACCAGCTGGCTCTTGCCTTCCTCCCTTTCCACCTCCATGTTCTCTCGAAGTCTATTCTTTTGTTTTAGAGGTGGGTCTCACTCTGTCACCCAGGCTGGAGTGCATCACAGCTCACTAAAGCCTCGAACTCCCAGGCTCAACTGATCCTCCTGCCTTGGCCGGAGGTGGGTTTTGGGGATTCTTTAGCTGGCAATTGGTCGAGAGAGTTAGGCTTTGTCTCAAGACCTGGAGTCAGCAGAAAGAAATGCTTCAGCTAAGATGAGGGGACTTGCTATCTGTCACGTGACGCTACTCCAGGGTCAGGCTGGCAAGTGAGCCACATGATGCCAGGTTACTAAAACCCATTTAGTGAGATTTTATCACTTGTAGGTCTGGCTCACCAGGCCTCTTAGAAAGGAATTTGGGCAAGAAAACAGAAGGTCAGAGTTCAGTCCTCAGCTCCCTGTTGGCCAAAGATCACTCGGTGGGATGCACGAGCGAGTGGGCTGACAGCGCAGGAGGTCCTGGGGCTAGGAAGGCTCGTCCCCAGAGCTGTCCATCTGGTCATCTGGTGCTGTCAGAGGTCGGGGAGACCTGCAGCCGTGGGGCTACATGTGGCCTTCTGGATCCTTGAGTGCGGCCTTTTGACTGAATCCAAATTTTTTTTTTTTTGAGACAGAGTCTCACTCTTTTGCCCGGGCTAGAGTGAGTGCCGTGGCGTCGGCCTAGCTCACAGCAACCTCACATTCCTGGGCTCAAGCGATCCTTCTGCCTCAGCCTCCCGAGTAGCTGGGACTACAGGCACGCGCCACCATGCCCGGCTAATTTTTTCTATAAATTTTTAGTTGTCCGATTAATTTCTTTCTATTTTTAGTAGAGACGGGGTCTCGCTCTTGCTCAGGCTGGTTTCGAACTCCTGAGCTCAAACAATCCGCCCGCCTCGGCCTCCCAGAGAGCTAGGATTACAGGCGTGAGCCACTGCGCCCGGCCTGAATCCAAATTTTATAGAACAATTTGTTCTTGAAGTTTGGATTTGGTTGAGGGGTCACACTCGGGGATCTGGAGGGCCACATGTGGCCCCAAGGCTGCAGGTTCCCCCCGCCCCATCCCATCAGACTTACCCTCCTTGCCAACAGTTATTTGAACCTTGTGGCTAACTGTATTTGAGGATTATAGGACCAACACCAAGTCAGAATCTAATACATTTAATTTTTCTTCTGGCCAGTTGGTCTGTGAACTCAGAAATATTCATAAAATCCTAAGCCCCCTGCTGACTGAGTGGACCCCACAAAGGGTATAAGGCATAATTGCACCAGGCACCTGTTTCTCTTTTCGTAAATATTCATGCCTCCTCCTATAGCTTGTCACATGTGTATTTGGCCACCTGCTCAGTGTAACTTCCTACCCCCATTGTCCCTGCCTGGAAGCACATGTCCCTGGCATGTGGCCGGGGAGCTGCTGGAATGGCCACCTGCAGGCCTCAGCCCTCCATGAGAAATAAAGCTCTCCTTTCCAAATTATGGACCTCGTTCTATTTTTTGGGTTAACACCTTCATAGGTATAACATCCTGAGGAGGGTATAAATCAAATTCGAGAAACATCTGGTCTTCAGTGTCTAAATTGTCATAGAACTTGTTCACAGTTGACAAATCTATTTTTCCCACCACCTTGGTGTTGCACCATATACTGGTATCTGGGAGAGACAAAGAGGTTTTGTTACAAGAGAAATCATTTGATTCTACAGTGCCATTCTGTCATCTCTCCCAACAAAAATGGCCTTTCCCAGATACCAAATGTTATATCTCATGGAGGTGGATATTAGGGTCCAAATTTGGGAAAAATCAAGGTTTCGAGTGGTTTGCGGGCACAACCATTCTCCTTCCCTTTTTCACAGTCTGAGAGAGAAACGGGAGCTGTGTTTTCATCCGCCGGAGCAGCCATCGTCTTCCTGTGGGGAGTGTCCACATACGGTTTACAATGGTCCCAGTGCCTGCTAGGTAGACTACAGAATGCCCTTGAGCCTCATTCAATTTTGGCCCTTGAGCTTTAAGAATACAGTCTCTGAGGTCACATTTGCCATCTAAAAATTTCCATAAACTTGGGGGACCACGTCTTCCTCAGTGTCAGACTGAACCTCAGCCCTGAGCACCGCAGCTGCTCAGATCCACTTGCATAACGTGGACATGGGCCTCGCCAGGTTAGAGCACGTGCCCACTCCCGCCTCTGGGTTTGGGAATGTGTTTTATGGCTTGTCTGGTCTCTTCTACTCAGGTGATGAGTGCGGCGTCATCCTTTAGGGCAGCTTCCCGTCCCTTTCATCCTCTTGGAACAGCATTCCTTCTGTGGTGGCTGATTTCTGAGAGGTAATTTTCTCTTAGGGATGCCTCTCTTCACAGGCCATGAATTGGGCTTGTCCAATACACCTAGCCCAGTTCCCAGTCCTCCAGAGAGGTTGTGTTTTAGTCTTTTGGATGGCCAACTTTGGTGTATCCACCAGGAATGCTGTGATCATTGTATGCTAATGGCATAGGTGCATTTGGATAAGTGGAGTCAACCCCGAACCCTTGGGGGTCCCAAATGATCACAGGTGCATGGAGGCTACGCCTAAGTGTGCCTTTGTCTGGGTGGTCCATAAGGCTTCCCAGAGGTGCCCTCGCCTTGGGTGGAATATGTGCTGTCAGGGGTCTCTGTCCACCACAGCTGATCCCATGAAGAGATCTTTAAGGCAGTGTCAGTGCGGTTCGTGCCGGGTAAGGCCGTCTGGCCACAAGCACAGGGCTGCTGGTCGCTGGGCAGCGTATGCTGCGCAGGTTACACGGGAGGCAGTGAGGTTTCTCCCATCAGCCCCAGGCACTGTCTAAGCTTGTCATCATCAATATCTATGGCTGTGCAACATTCTATCTGACTGGACCCCTCAATAATCGTCCTTAGGCATTGTTAGGTAAATATTCCTGCAGGGCATCGTATTTGGTGAGAGCCTTTAAAAAGAGGTGCCCTGAAAAGGGGGCACCTCTGCGAATGTTCAGAGTGGAACTGTCCCAATCGGTGGCCTTCATTTCATCGGCTCTATGTCATACCAAACCACGTGGGCTCCATCGGCAGGGAAATCGGTGAGGTTTGCAGGGAAGCAGAAGCAGTTTTGGGGCAGGCAGATAGAGGAGACTGTGGGAAGGAGAGTGAACAGGTAAAACACTTTTCTGAGTTTAACAAGGAAATTCATAACCACACCCATCTAGAAAGTTATACCAAGGGAGATTCTGTAGACACCAAACAACCTCTATGAGATCTTGGTTAAAGCATTCAGGGTTTTTGGCAATATAATCTACAGCAAGTAAGGTAAGAATAAGAGTTATTTCAGGGTTCACGGGGACTGGCCTGGGCCAATGTCTCAGGAAGAATGTCTACTTCGGTTGTGGCTCTGGAGACTGGTTGGGCCTCGGGTGTTTTCCAAAACTGCAGGCAGGTGTCAGAGACTGATTCGGAGGTCCAGGTGTGGTCAGGAATGTGGTCGGTGCTTGTTTTAGGTGTGAGATGTGAATCGAAGAAGCAACTGCCTTTAATTTTGCAGCACGAGAGTTAGTTAAAAGTACCTGATAAGGTACTTTCCAGTGGGGTTGTAGGGAGTCCTTTAGTTGGTGCCTTTTCCCATAAATAAGTCATCTGACTGCAATGCGTGATCCTTGGAGTCTCTGGCCCCTGGGAGCTCACTGTGGAAAGACTCTGTCACCAGCTTTGTATTATTTGTTACTGTTTTAAGTAGTCCTTGAAAATAATTCAGTATTTCCCCCTTGAGTAAGGCCGGCTAACATATGCCCTCATCCAGCCTCTAGGCCTTTGTCGTCATCTGGCAAGGTGATAGGTAGTGCTCTCTCAAAAGGAGCGGATCTAAGGTTAAGCAAGACCAGTGCGAGGGCTTTTGGCCAAGGGAGGTTAAAAGCCTCCATTAATTTAGCTAACTGAGTTTTTATCGTGCCATTTTTCTGTTCTACCAACCCGAGGACTGGAGATGGTAGGCACCATGGAAATGCTGTACTGCCGCCCAGATTCTGGAAATGGACTGAACAACCTGTCTAGTAAAATGAGTCCCACGATCACTGTGTAGCTCAGAAGGGATGCTCCAAACTGGAATGATTCTAACAGTATTTTGCCTACTGCTAAGGCAGTAGTCCTTTGACAAAGAAATGCTTCTACTCAATGAGAAAACATATAAACCAAGACCAACACGTATTTATGAGATGGCAGCATCTGGATGAAATCCAACTGCCATACTTCAAATGGTCCTGTATGCAAAGAAAAATGACCCTGAAGGGCCAGGCCGGTGGCTCACGCCTGTAATCTGAGCACTTTGGGAGTCTGAGGCAGGAGGATGGCTTGGGGCCAGGAGTTCAAGACCAGCCTGGGCGACATGGTGAGACCCCATCTCTACAAAAAATAGAAAAATTAGTTGGGTGTGGTGGCGAACGCCTGCAGTCCCAGTTACTCAGGAGGCTGAGGCGGGAGGACCACTTGAGCCCAGGAGTTCGAGGCTGCAGTGAGCTGTGATGGTACCACTGCACTCCAGCCTGGGTGACAGCGTGAGACTCTGTCTCAAAAAAATAACAATAAAAACACCAATATGTCACAATGTGTCTCAGCATAAACAAATGCTACCTTCCTAAAAAATGGTTTGTCCAGGATTGCTAAATACTAAAACAAAAAAGGCAAAAAAAAAGAACAAAATAACAAAAAAACTATATTTATGCAAAAAAGTAAATACAAACTATAAAATCTGTCGCGTCAACCTGAAGCCCATCAATGTAGAGCTTAATCTGCTATTGCCTAAAGAACAGACGAGCAGTAAGTACAGTCCAAACTGACCTTCAGGTCCCGGCAGAGTTTCTGAAGGGTCTCAGGATCCGGCCCAGCCCACCTGGTCCCACGTAAGATCCCCAGGCACAACCACACCTGGGCCGCTCCGCGACGTCAGAGAGTTCCACTTATCCTCCAAAACAACCCTGGTTTAGCGGGCGCCATAGTGCCAACCCGACCCCCGAGAGGTCAAAGAGCACTCGGCGACCCGCCCAGAGCCCGGCCCCGCCCCGGCCGAGCGCTAACCCGGCCACGCCCTCCGACGGTGCGTACGCTTCCTCGGACACGCCTGACCCCGCTCACTGGCCCCGCCCCACTCCCAGTCCCGGACACGCCCCAGCCCCAAACCAGGTCCCGCCCATGCTCCTGCGGCCTGGCCACACCCCCTCCGTCCGCTCCTTCAGGGCGGGCGGGGGCGCCGGAAGTCGCGGCGGCGAGTACCGGAAACATGCGTGCGTACGGGGCCCGGAGGATCTTCGCGCCGCTGATGCGGGGCTGTGGGTTTCGCCGCAGATGGTGGAGGGCGGGGCGCCCCGGGGCGACCGACGACCGCAGACGCAGACCCGGGCAGGGGCCCGTGCGGGCGGGGAGGTTGCCCGGCGGAGGCCGCGTGGCGGACGCTGCTGGGGCGTCGAGGGGTCGCGCGCAGCCGGGGTCCGGAGCGCGACCGGGCGAGGTATTCACCCCCAAATTAAAAACAAGAATGTGTGGAGAAAGCTTTGACCGTGTTGTCTTTTAGGTGATGCGTCACTTAAGTCACCTCTTTGGGGAACAGAGTGTTTCACCCAGGGTCTCGACTTCAGTCGCCATTCTGCTTGCGTCTCTGATTTTTATCCCCAGGTCAGACCTCGAAACCAACACCAGCTCTCACTACCCTGGTGCAATAATCTAAAACTCGGGTTTCCTCATGTACTCCCTCTGCAGTCCTCTCCTGCGTGTCCACAGCAGCCTAGGGGTGTACAAGAAAAACACCACTTGGCACGTCAGTCCCTTGCTCCAGTGGTGAAGTCCAAACCCTGAGCCCGCCCACGTCGCACACGCCTCGGGGCGCTCGCATCCTGCTAGTCAGGTTTTCGGTTTCCTCTTAAGTATTCTTGCCCTGGGCTTGTTCCCAGGCTGCCTGGAGCCTTCCCTCACCCCTTTCCCTGGTTGATTGTCGAGCATCCTGCAGTCCCAACTTAAATATCACATTCTTAGAGGAAGAAGCCTTTCCTGAACTTCTCAAACGGTATGTTCCCCCCTGCTAAATGCTCTCATAATACCCTGAACTCTCCCCCTCGTAGGACTTTAAGATGAATCTAAATTATGTCATCTGATTTTCTGTGTAATGTCGGGCTCCCCTGCTGGACTCCACAAGAGTTTCTAGCATTTGACATCATGTCTGGCACATGTACATGCTAAATAAATATTTGTTGAATAACGAATGAATGAAAGGCAAATAAAGGGAGTAAGGCTTTCCCCAAACAGCATATTTTTGAAAGTCTAGTGACCAAACACACAGTTTTACTCTTTAAAAGTTTGTAACAAAACTCTTGAGTTTCACCTTGCAGAAAGTCTTACCAGTAAGTCACAAAAGACTGAAGTTTTCTTTTCCATTTGATAAAACTGGCTTTAACTTTTTTATTGTATACACACAAAAAACTATAACATGTATAAGGTATAAAGAATAACAGTAAAATGAGCCCCTGGTCATGCACCCCCATGCATAAGAAATACACCATTACCTTTGAAGTTCCCTGTGCTCCTCTCTGCAACCCCTATCTGGAATTTTATGGTTTTTATCTCTCCTTCATGTACATATATTTGCCTAAGCAATATATGGTTTGGCTTGCTTTTGCATTTTATTTTAATGAGATATTATACTTTATGTAGTTTTCCGTGACCTGCTTTTTTCTAAACTTAGCAGTATGTGTGAATTTGTCCCTATTTATATGTGGAGGTGTAATCATTCCTTTTTACAGCTATATAGTGTCAATAAGTATACCTGTTTATTTTTCTGCAGTTGGATACTTGCATTACTCTTAGTATAAGGTTAAGCATTGGCTCCTTTCAAAGAGAACATACTGTGTATGATTTTGAGGGTTTCTCGAAGAGCTCAACTCAGGCCCCTTTAGTGAGCATGGACTTAGACATTTCTGCAGCTAAGCAAAGATCAAGCCCCCAGTGATAGGGTCTTTTCCCTTCTGACCCCATCCTACCCAAAGTGAGGGTTTTTGCTTGGCTTGAGGTAGCATGGAAGCACCCCCCCTTTCTCCAAAGGGAAGACAATGAGAATGGGAATACATCATACCACAACTTTCTCCAAAGAAACGATCTCAAAATTTTCCCCAAACATATTTTCTTATATCCTGTACGGTGGCCCAGTTCCTCCCACATTTTTTTCTGTCCTGACCAAGAAACAGAGTGCCTTCACTTTTCTGTGACCTGGCCAGCTGCATGTTTCTCCCCGTAGGCTTGAACCCACACAGGGCCCATGAACATTCCCAGACACTGTTAAAGATGTTCAGGTTGCTGCCCAAAACGCTGAACAAACCCAGCCCAAATTCCTGGAACCTTTATGTAAACTCCATGCCCCAACCCCCTCATGGTGGACATACCTAGGTAGAACAACTCTTTTGCTGCCCACAAGGATGCCTGCTGAAGCACTTTGTATATGCATTCCTCCAATAAGCCCTTTGGACCAATCGCCCTGGTTTTCGCACTGCTTTCTTTGGAATCCCAACTGGTCCCACATCAGGACAGTCTGGGGCACTCCCTTGTGAGAACTCCTTTGCCACTGCTTTTGGGGCAACTTCAGCCCCAGTTCTGGCTGGGATGGAACACCTCATATATCCTCAAGTAGGGTGATGGACAATCTGTAGGCTAGTATTTCCTCTGCAAAATCTGTAAACCTTGTCTGGCTTCCTTGGAAAGAATATGCACTTAAAATCATTTATTTTAAATCTGGGGACTCTGCTGAAATTTGAGAGAGGAAAGCCTCACGTTAACATTGTCTTATATTTGGCTTAACACATTCCTTTAAAACTATGAATTCATCCGCAAGAGTTACAAGGCTATCATCAGTAGCAATTAGCTCCTTAACTCAAGGCAGTTACTTTTCAAAGGGATGGGCACGCTGGATGGGTGCATCCTTTCCCAACCAGGACATGCAGTGATACTTTCATCTCCCCCTGGATATCTGCCTTGCTCTTACTTGAGAATTTTAGACTGCATTATTTAATGCTTATGTTTAGTCAT